TTTACATGCACTGAGTCTATTTCGTCGAAATGAACAAACCTCCTCAATGGAAATGTGCCTTTCAAACAGTTCATGCAATGCGGCGAAATGAGACCCGGTGATGATCGTTTATTTTACATGCACTGAGTCTATTTCGTCGAAATGAACAAACCTCCTCAATGGAAATGTGCGTTTCGAACGATTCGTGCAATGCGACGAAATGAGACCCGGTGATGATAGTTTAATTTACATGCACTGAGTCTATTTCGTCGAAATGAACAAACCTCCTCAATGGAAATGTGCGTTTCGAACGATTCGTGCAATGCGACGATGTTGTGATGATTAAAATTAAGGTTTGGCAGAAAATACTTGATTCCCATTACGTTTAGTTATTACCTCGAGAAACGGCAGGATTGTTATTCGCAATTGTTAGTCAATGAGTGGGATTGGTGTTCGTAGGGCATATTTTGCCGCGCTGGTCCGCTGTGCTGCTATGCATTAATATGATTATTAATTGAGCACCAGTTGATTTATTTTGCTGCATTGCACCCATAAAGTGATGTGGTAAACCGTGCTTTGCGCAATGTAAATTGTGATTAGTTGCAGTGCAAAACCGAACTAAACTTTATGGAACCCAACTTCTTCCCACGCGACACTACCTATCGGCAGTCGATTACCACTGAAGTGTACATCGACAAATTTTCTCATTATGCATAGTATTGCTCTAGAAATCAAATGGCGTTGTTGTCGATAAGGTTCTGCGATATTCTACACTTTTGTGAGAGAAGGCGCGAAATTTTAAATTTTCTACGTGTTTGATTCTTTCAACCGCCTTTTTTATTGTTGAACTTTCTCCCTGTTTTATTAATGTATTTTTGCCTGCCTAAAGTGTCGAATCTCTTCGTGTAAAATTTTCCTAATATTATTGTGAAACTTATGTTTATTTCAGTAAATTTGCCTATTTGTGATTCGTGGGACCTCTGAAATGTGATGCGATGTCAGAAAATTCTAAAAGTGAAAACCTTTCCCTATTTCGCGGTTATTCCTCATTCTCCATCATTTTCGCGCAAAATTTGCGATGTATAACCGAGGTCGCAATATTTTCAGAAGTGAGTATGATTATTACGGAAGATATTTCTCGCCGTAAGCTGTAAATAGGAAATAATGATCGGTTAATGATAGGTCGATTGCGCAACGACGAGGGATGTCGAGGGATTCTATTTCCACAATAATTTTTTAGATTTCAGTTCCGACCTTGGGAGCTTTTAAAATTTTTTCTACATTTTTTATCTTCTAATTTTTTAATTTTTTAATAATTTCAGATATGCGGCACTCTATAGAAGTTTTTTGAACATGAAAATTCGGAATTTCGAGTATTTATACATATAAAAGTTTACGATTGCTAACATAATATGAATTATTGAATATGAATTATTGGGTCAGTATTGTCCATTTTAATCTTTTCAAGCGTCAAGGGTCAATGCATTAGTTCCTTTCTTTGTTGCTTTTCTTTCACTTAATTTTTATCTTAGGAAGATAATTAAAAGAGGAAAAGATACTACCAAAAGAATGAAAGTCAAGTCCGATCAATTTCAGACATTTTATCCAATTTTTTCGCTTATTTGTGACCTATGAATCAAAAATAACCTCTAAGATGTCCACTGGCATTCCATTTATCACAGTGAACGAAAAAGTTTTCATGATACGACTGAATTTGGGTCATTTGTGATTTTACTTGGAAGTGCAATTTGATTTAGAATTATTTGGTTATTTTTATGCGAATTTTAAAAAAACCAAACTGCATAGGGTATGCCACGAGTTATCCGGGTTGTACGACATGAGGGTGGACCGCTAAGTTCTTGTGACCCAATCACATCGTTCACGGCCGCGAAAACCCCCTCGTTGTTCGTTCGAATTTAATCACATGGTTAAAAGAAAAGCTGGCTGATCATAATTGGTTACGACTATGTGCTATAAATAATTCCACCAAATCAAATGGACTTATCAGCTTCCCTTAACATTCGTCGAATATATTTCTAAGGAGGAAGTCCCCACAAACAGATAATTTAATAGACAAGTAAGAAAACGCATGAATATTTCTTGACATAGGAAATCCAAATATTACCAACATGAGATTAAATTTAACAAAAGCATAAGTCAAGTGCAGTATACCTAGGGGTGGAAAGTCTTTTTCCACATTTATATTTTTAATAAATAGCAAATATAGCTTTACCAGAAATCCAAGACCATTGTCAATTCTGCAAATATTTCATATCGTAAACCACTAAGATATAGATAGGATTTGTGGTCACCTTGTTTGATCAGCCTCGCCATTAATTTGATTAGAAATCTTGTATTATCAGGGAAAAATAGGAATTCAAGACCACTTGGCTTTTCAATAAATATTTACTCTTGTCAGAAGCAAAGTTTGGGCCCAGTTTCAACTTAATATATAATTAAGACTAATAGTGATCAAAAAATTTATTTAAAATAGTTCAACAAAAATAATATAAAATAATAACAAAAAAATAGAATGTAAAAGTAATAAAAAAAAAAATTTTTGGTTCATCAATTTCTTTTTCCCATGAGGTATAACAATAAAACCCGAAGTCCTTATATTGAACAATATTTCATACATCAAATAAAGAAGTTATTTAGACATCTAAAGAGCTAACTATCTTCAGGAAATGATATCATATAATCAACGCTGAATCCAGGAATTTTCGGTGAAATTAGCTTCATATCTATACGGATGTGTTGAAGATCTGTCTCATCTAGAGATAATTTTACTAGAATCTTTTGTAACAGAAATAATTTAATGCCTTCAGCGACGATAAAGGTATGATTGATAGAGTAATTCAAATTTGATGGAAAAACGATAACCGATTCCAAACCATACTTCGGCACAAATACCTAAAGCAAATATGTCGATTTCCACCGTTTCGAAAAAATTGTGATTATTGCAGTGTACCTTAAATAAAGAAATACCTGGATTCCATTCTTGCGGATTCCCATCACAAAAGCTTCATGATTTTCAACACGGTCTTTGAAATATAAAAGCGTATTGAGCAACAAAGATGCACGTCCAGCATACTGTGCTTGCTTATGCCTTAATGAAAATTTTATAAAAAATTTATACGCGAATAAGCGAGTGGGTTCTCGCGCAGAACCAGAAGAAACAATAGATGAGCTGGTCATTGTGATAAATCTTGTCATTATGTTAATAACATATCGGATCTCAGAATTGCCGATGAAAATCTAGACTGGATAATTGCAAGAGAATCACGTATACTTCTATCCCAAGTATCGTTCGTAAAGTTATAAAGTAAATTTATCATGAAAAAATTTGATATTAATACGGCGCTAGCGTTTTTAGAGGCACATGGCATTCATAACTGATACATGCTATAAATATGCGAAACGGATCTAGTGAAATAAAAAAAATAAGCTCAAATTAGTGTATTACTATTTGAGAGTTGCTGAGGAGAATGAACAAAGAACTATTCATTGTTTCCGTGAACACCAGGTGAGATAATGGACATCGAAAGTTAGGCAATAATAGTGCCTAAATATTGCCTAAATATCATGTGGACATTACTTGCTTTTCCCATTTTGGATCTCATGCAATTATTATCTGAATCGGAGAAGTATGGCTGTATTCAGTATTATCACTGCTTCGGATGAACTGAAGCGTAGCAATTTCATATCTGAAAGAGTTCTGATTGTGTGGAAGCCTGTTACAATACTACCCGCGCCTAACTCAAAGAGGAATTTCCAAAAAGTGCCATAATCACAGTCATGGAAGAATGGAATATGCACACAGATAACGCAGTCATCTTGAGTTTTGTGGTTAATGAATATAGCATCGGACATTCCAATGTGAAGAGAGCGCCTTCGCTTGCTGAGGAACAGACTTTTTATTACCAATAAATGCTTTCTATATCGGAAAAAACATATAGTCAGATGGAACTCTCTTAATTCAATTATCCTCTCAATTATTCTGAATATTGAATAACCAATCCTCCTTGCGAAAGTTTGGTAATAGATGTTCAGCTGTTCCTATCTTAGCGCTGAAACACTAGGGATCTTCATAGGCTAAACTATATGGTTCAAGCCAAGATCCGTATCAAGCTGACGACATGTAATAGTTCATAATCTTTCAATTATCTCGAAGAGCGCATTTCAAACTATTGTTTATCGAAATATCGCAATAAATATCGGAAGTGCTGGCGAGTCTATATCGCAATAATATTGCAATCTTGCGTTAAGAACTGTATACCCTTGGTATAAATCATTTAAAAATAATAAAGAATGATAAATAAAAATTTATAAGGTTCAAAATAGCCTTATATAACTTTGGCACATTTTCAATTCTTTTATTTTCTTTATAAATTTTTCCCTTTTTTTACAAGTAAAATGAAAATGTTTATTCTATTTATTTTAACACCAGAACATGGTATCATTTGTTTCCTTTACATATAATAATTAGCACACTTCATTTCTGGCTAGGCTAGCTCAGCTAGATGTTGGCACTGTAAGGAATTTTTTTGATTAACGATAATATATAGGCTCGCCAGCACTTCCCGAATTTCTTCAGTGAGATTTAATCCCGTCACATGCAAGATTCTACCGTTTCAACAATAATCTAGATCAATAACCCACTCGGCCATCTTATTCCTTTTTTTACATAAAATAAAAACATTTAAATTTAAGCATATTTAAATGATTACCGATAAATTGTTTTCAAAAAAGTAATCAAAAATATAAGTACCTATAATTAAGATTATTTGCAATCTTGGAAACGATATCGCCTTTTAGCATCGATGGAACAGTTATATCAGCCTTTATAGCTGCTGATAAAAGTCTATGCACCATGATATCAGCATATCGACGGATTGGTGATGTAAAATGGGTATATATTGGAGCAGCGAGACCAAAATGAGTATATTGCTCTGTCGGTAAACTACCTGTAACAAAACCTGTGTTAAGATGAATAGCATATAAAAAACCAAATACATATTACCTGATGAAAAATAAACAGCTTGAGTTAAGCATCGTGTAGTAAGCATTCGGATCAACGTATTTATGATACTGTTATTCGGATCTATGGCCCTGTCAAGACTTTCAGCTAACGCTTTGCCACTTTCTATATTTATTTTAAAACCGAGTGAATCGGTCATCTGAAATTTAAATTCGATGGGAAGCAGTTTGCTGCCAGTTTAAAAAAAAAGAAGAAAACATATGAGAGGAATAATTTCTCAATACCTCAACTAACGATTTATAACTTTCAACACTAGGTGTAGGGTGCCTTCGAAGTAAAGCACAGTCAGGAAATTCTGCACAAATTTTTTCAGCAACCGAAATATTGGCTAACAACATGAATTCTTCAACCTAAATAATATTAGAAATTAATAGCTGGATTCAAAAGATAAGGTAAGGAAATTTTTAAAAAACTGACCATAAAATTAACTGAATAGGAATTCTATTAATAAAAATGCATTTTCCACCAACCATACTATTTGTATCAAGATGCATTTTTTCTTGAACACTTATAGGATTTTTTGTTTCATTATCGATATCGAATCGAATTTCAGAAGAAGCTAGATTTAATGCACCGCTAGCATGTCGCCTTGCTTTAAGTTTCTTCGATAATGCTATTAAACCGCGTAAACTCAACGTTATTTCATCATTCTGAATGATATGGAAACGAAAGATAATAAAATAAAAAAAATAAATATAAAAAGCTATAAAAACAAATGGGGAAATAGCAAAGAAATTTACATTGTGATTTATTTATTTATTTATTTATCAATGTAATTTATAAAAGCAACCATATAAGGATCGTCGATCATATTTTGAGCCATTTCGTAGGTAAGAGCTCCTCTTGAGCGAATAATTGATTTATGGAATTGAACGTTAATAATATCAGCATTTGATGACAAGGTCCAAATTACAGAAAAAGCAAATCGATCAACATTTTCTCGCAATGAACAAAGATCACTTGACAACAATTCGGGCAACATATCAATGCGCCTTAAAACGAAAAAAATTTCGCTAATGCAAAAGGTTACGTGACGATCTACTGTACTGGTTATATATCAAAATATTAAATGAAAAGAAACGGTACTTGTCGCACAAATAAACTGTTGTTCCTCGATGTGCTGCTTCTTCATCAATTGCGGTACCAGGTCGAACGAAATGAGTAACGTCAGCAATATGCACACCTACCTAACAAATAAAAAAACATTAAAAAAATAAAAAAATACATTTTATGCATTACATGCTAGCAAACGATAATTAAAAATAATAAAAAGAACCAAAACAAAAAATAGCTGATATTTGTTAGGAATGAAAAATTTCTCACCTCAAACTGATCAGAGGATAACTGTCTGCAGTGAAGTGCATCATCAATATCTGTGCAACCAGGAGGATCAACTGAACAAATAAATAAAGATCGAAGATCTTTTCTATGAGTTTGAACTGGAGGAATCCAAGGTATGGAAGGCAAGCAAGCAAGAACAAAATCTGAGAACTGATCATGCGGTATATCATGCTCCAATAATAGTACCTGAAAACAGAAATCCATATATCTTTCGAAATTTTAACCCCTATTTATGTTCTAAAAAAATATGGTTATGGAATAATAGACAAATAGAATTGAAAAAGAACAACTTCATTTTCAATATCACGATCACCAGCCACTCCAATAGTACGAACATAATGGCCCACTGGATAACGAGAATCACGCGGCCAGCGATCAATAGCAGCAATTATACGTTTTCCTAATAGCTGATTAGTTTGACGAGTTTCTAAACGTATTCGAGGTATCAATCTTTCAGCTGCAGTAAAAAGAACATTTGTTGAATCTAAAATTAAACATGCATAAATTTTCAAAATTCATGCAGGATAATAATATAAACAAAATAAACAGTTGATTTTTTAAATAATATATAAGTATATATAATATAATAAGTATATAATATATAATAAACATAAGATATAATAAAAAATAAGTATAAATATAAATGACTCAAGGAAATGAATCTGATATAAAGAATATTAAAACCGACAAAAAAGATCAAAGTAAGGATAAAAATAAAGTGTGCCTGGTACAGAAGGTTTTAAAATCATTCCGCAATACTGTCTCCAGTTTCTTTTAATAATACCAACGACTTTTGCGGAAGGTATGCGATCTTCAATGCGAACCTTCTTTAAATCTGGTTCAATTTTTTCTTCCCTTTCCTCATCATCCTTTTCTATTTCATTTTTCGCTTCCAATTCTTCCAAATCTCGAAGCTGAAAAAATGTTTACATGATAAGCAAAATTTAGAAAAGGAAAAGTTTGATGAGGTCCATTTTGAGTATAAATTGAGTACAAAAATGAGTATAAATTTTTTTGCAGCCTTTATAACTTTTTATAGTCCAAATCAACCTTAAGAAACAATAAAAACAAAGAGAAAATGATCAGAAAACGACACAAAAAATAACTGGCTCGAATTAATTTTTCAGGACATGTCCATTGATCTTCTGGTAACAATTCAACTGCTACCGTATCCCCATTAATCGCTCGATTGCAATTAATTCGACCTTGAATAAACCAAATAACATCACCATCAAGACGTGCTGTTGCTTCTAAGTAATTCTCGCGGGAAATCTGATATTTCAAGCAAAAATATAATATAAAGTTTATATTGACCATTTAAACAATGTTAAAATAATAATCAGCAAAATAACATAATTATTCAAAGAACCTTTTTTTTAAAATTATCATGCTAAAATCATACCAAAAAATTCAAAAAATACACCTAAAAATGAATATATGCACAATTAGTACCAAAATATGTGAAATAAAATGTAGCAAAAACAAATAGGATCTACCTGGAAAGTTGCCTTTTTAAATTTCCCAGAATGGATACCATCTTGAATAACTTCATGAGAATAGTGCTCAGGAAAAAGTAACTTTGAATGATTCTCAGCCTCCGAGTTATAAATAGCAATTTTATTCAATAAATCTGCATTATCACCCATACCTCAATGTTGTGCAAATATGAAAAATAATGACCATTATGAAGAGAATTAAACAAATTTAATGCTTTGATCCAGAAACCTTCAACATATTCCTTTAATGTAAATGTATTCGTAAAATGCAGTTTCAACTTATCCTTTTTATCATCAGTTGCACAAAGAATTATTGGAATAATATCATAATTTGCCCAATGTTCTTCATAAAACTTAGCGACTTTCAAAAGAGATTTGTCTAGTCTGAAATAAAAAATAATATACATAAGAATAAAATAAAATAAAATGAAAACTTAATGAAATAAAAATGAAAAAATGACCTCTTCTCACGACTTTCATGGGCGAAACCGCTCAAATGAGTCATGTAATGCAAATCGTCTAAAAACACTACAAATTCACAATTTGCTCTTTCATAACACAGTGAATTTATAGTTTTATAAGCAGGTGGATTCGATTTTTTAACATCATTCCATACAGTTTGTGTAAGAATCACATTTCTTAAAAATATTTAGATCTTAGAATATTTGACAAAGGTTGTTAAAAATTAAAAATTTTTTTCCAATAATTCAATTACTCTCAATTAACGATTTTTAAGCAATGATCCACCCAGAAAACTATAAAAACTCATTAAAAATTTTATAATTGCAATAAAACAGAATTCAAATTACTTTCATAAGCTTTAACTTTCATTATTAACTTTAGTAAATTTATTTATAATAATCTATACAACAATAATTCAATTAAAAAAAGCCAGTATAAAAATAGAAAAAAAAAAAATTTTGTGAAACACAAATCTTTATTATAATATTATAATAAAGTTTCTGGCACTGTACGACAGATAAAGGAAGACATGTAAAGACCAGAGAACTCCTCATAATGCACGAAAATTTCCACCCAAATCCAGTACCAAAAGTTGTACACCAGCAGGAAAGAAGGAGCTTGGTGGGGCTTGGTGAGAATGAAAATCATTATCTTACACGAAACTCAAAACATTTAAATATAGCAGTAAGATGGCACCAAAGGATGAGCTGCTGAGAAAATATCTGATGCACAGACAATGGAAAACGATCAAGCAGAGGAAATACCATGGCAAAGCAAGTCCTTCCATGGATTGCACCATTAACAGATAGTTAAGGTAGCTTATACTGTGAAATCCTACCAATGGTTGGAGAAAAGAAAGCTGGACTAAAAGGCAATATTGAGTCATTGAGTCATTGATTATAGTAGCTCAGAAGTAAGCATTAAGTACCGGATTCAAGGATCCACCATACTAGACAGGACTCTAGATGCAGTTTATGCAAAAACGCCTAAGGAACAGTCCAACATATAGTGACAAGGTATAAAATGCAAGCAGGAACGACATATAATGAAAAGTGTAATTAAGTTGTTGACACCATCTACAGGAATATCTAGGTATATGGCTTGACTCTCTCAAGATAGATTCCAGGAACAAAAACAGCGATTTCTATCCAAAAGCGCATTATTAGGAATAGCCAACTGGCTATTGGCAGAACCCTCAATTTCTGGCAAAAGTTTGAGGATGACTATAGCCACCCAGGCGGAGAAAAAAGTTTGACTAATATCCAATCGCCTTTTTGATTTCACCGGTTGACGATCAAAAAAATTTAATAGTATTATAATAGTATCAATAGTATTACACAGACAAAGTAAATTAATTAAATCCTGGTTAGCATTTTCGTCTCCTTTAAGATGAAAAACTTTGGCAACTACTCACGAACAGAAATATAATCCAACACTCCAACGAGCTTTTCAAATGATATGTTAATTCCTACCAGGTCAAATCATGAAATGATCTTACTGTCTTTGTAGATCTATCAATAATCGTTCAAATTACTTATCAATTTATCATCTGTTTTCTCAACTAGGTATTTTTAAATTTCTCAGCTAATATAAGAAAGAACTATGAACCACATACAATAATATTTTTAAATGAATATAAATTATATTATGAGGGTAGGAATAGTTGGGTGGACTATTGCTCTCATTTCGGAGCACCGATGATGGAGTTTTGTACCACGGAAGTAATCCTGTCTTCCAAAAATTTTACTGATGTTGCTCATTTGGAAAAAATTTGTCTGCTCCAAGTCAACGCTCTAGATTTAAAAAAAATATATGTATATACCACAACATATAGTGGCGGGATCCAAGATGTAGGCATGAAGAGCATTATTCACCGCAATATGTGATTATACAAAATGAGAGATTTCCTAGAATAGTCCAAAATAGAGCCAAGATTCAAGAAGACCACTAGTTGATAATAGATAAGAACGAGAAACACTGGTGATAAATAGAGAAGCGCTTAATGGGGGAAAAACGGAATGGAAAAGGAATAACAATTCCTAAATAAATAATATTATATAAATAATATTAAATAAAGATTTTCAAAAATTTACTTAAAGCGATCGCTATCAAATAAATGGTGGAATCGAATAACAGTTGCCGAATCAACAATGACCGCATGATTTGCTGGAAAAGTAGATGTGATGCGGTGCTTTAAATCACTGATAATTTTGGTATTAAATGGACGACATTTTTGACAAATCGCAAGATTACAACTTATATCGTTTCTGAGATAATGTTCATGAACACGCTAAAATATTGATGAATAAATTATTCACTATTTAATAATATATTTATTTGTTTAATGGTAAATATGCGGTTGGTACTCATCACTTCTAATTAAGCTAGCTTCACTTACAATTACAAAAATAATATAATTTTATAATTCAGTCAGCCAGGAAGGAACAAAGAAGAGATGGGCTCCTGGCCGCGCTTTCTTAATAATTCACTTGGCTATTCCGTTCAATGATCTATTTTCTCAGAAAAATAATGAATAAACAACAAAAAAATCTGGCAAAAAGAATTCGATTATTCAAACCTTTACAATTTTTCCACTTCTATTTTTCCTATAAACAATATTTAATTCGCGTCCGCATATGCCACTCTGTTTAACGTTTATCTCAAACATTTATCCAAAAATCTGAAAATAAAAGCACGAACACTTCGTCCGAAAAATCTTCGCGCGCCCCGCAGGAAATTTCGCTAGTGGCGGTGATAAACGCATAGAAATATTGGAAGCAGATATTTGTTTTTGCTTCACAACTTTTTCCCGGAATTGCAGAGCATTTCCAGCAGAACAACGCCGAATCAAATAACCCTTTCCATTAGATCGCTGAATATTTAATATTAAATAAAATTTTTGAAAAATAAAAAGAATTCCAGACAAATTCCAATGTCACACCGCATTCACGCTAAGGCAAAGCGCGGCCGGCCGCAACAACCATTTTTGCTTTGTCTTTAAGAAGAAATCGTGCATTAGCGAATAGACTTTTTGTTTGCGCTATCGTCTGCCTTTTAATATATTTGGTCGTCCTTTGCTTTTTGATTCCAGAAAACGTTTGGTACTTTCCAGTCGACTTGGCAGCATGAAATTCTGTTTCAGCTGTGCACTATTCGACTATATTGCCTTCAGAGTTATAGCGAAAATATCAAGAGAATCTGTGGAATTCAGAGGAAAGTGATATACTTGGGTTGTGTAGAGTCACTAGAAAATAAAAAAATGATTGATTCACATGATTTAACTCAAAATTAGATGTATTTCTTGACCTTTGTAAATCGCAGAATCGTAGCACATCGTGCATTCGGCAGCAGCAATCCTCGGAGAGTGAAAGCACTTCCATGCGAGGTGGTTCCGAGGTAATTTCTTTAATCCTCCATCGACTGCTTGATTTATTCTTTTTTCATTATTTTTTGTCACTTCATTAGTTAAGATTTTGTTAAAAACACAAAATATTTCACTCACCATCGTGGCCGCGGCCGTATTTCTCTTTCTGAATCGCTAAAGTTAATTTAAAATGTCCAATTGTGTAGAAGTTTTGGGTTATGATGCGTATTTGTTTCCGGAATTGCTTACTAACGAGCAAATTTTGAATTCATTAAGGAAGAAGTTTTTACGATTTGGTTTAAAAGATATTCGTTTTTTAGACACTTTCTCATTTGATGAATTAACTGAATTAACGAAAAAATATTTGATGCCGAAACCTCAACGACAGTGGCAACAGCGGGTTTGCTTTTCATTTATTGTATTTCATCAATTAAGCTTATTTAAAACTCGGCTGTGTGGAAGAAGATTCATGCCGCGGGCAGAGCACAGCCTGTTATTTCACGCTGTATCACTCTCAGGGCACACTCGTCCTTTCATTTTATAATTCAAAATTTTATCACTTATGGACGTTGCAAGTCAAGCGATCACTGTTCATACTTTTTCTAAATATCGTGTGGATATCGCTTGCTTGTCGGAGGTCTAGCATTGGGTCTCGAGTGATCCTGGCTCGGAGCAGAGATACTGGCTGTATCAAAGTGGTGCTTCGGATAACTCGGCGTGAAATGACGTAGCGATTATTATGTCTGCCAAGGCCCATTCCGCTTTGATTGAGTGGAAACCGATAAGCGAACATATGGTCTATGTCCGTTTTAAAGGTAAGTTCTGCAATATCTCGGTCATCAGCATCTATGCTCCGACTCTGCCGGCAGATGACCATGATAAAAATAAGTTCTATATGGAACTTCAACTGCTAACAAAGTTTCTACCATTATATGATATGGTCATCAACGAGAGCAGCACAGCGGGACTGAAATTACTATTGGAGTGATATGGCCTCAAGAATGGAGGCGGCGGCTCGATTAGGCGATAATAGGGAACTATTTCGCCTTCTTCATAAAGCAACTATAATTCGAGGAACGATCAGTGGAATAGTAATGGACAGCAATGGCGTGTCAAGAGTGTTATAAGGAAATAAAGACAGCCTTATAAGATGGAAAGAATTCTTTGAGGCCAAATTTAACCATGAAGGAAACTTACGGTACGGCAGAATGCACCCTAATAAAGCTGGATTCAGATCAGGGCGTGATTGTGCTAACCAGATAATCATTTTAGGAAGGGTGTTGAAAAATCGCTTCAGATATTGGCAACCCACGGTGTTTTATCGACTTTGCGGCTGCCTTTGATTCAATTGATTGAAAGGCGTTTTGGAGGGTGGTGGAATGCGACGGTGTTCCAGGAAAGATCATCCGACTAATAAAGCCATTTTATGAGTGTACGTTAGTGCAGGTCTGTGTATGTGGGGAGCTGATAGACTCCTTCGAAATAAGAACTGGTGTTCATCAGGGCCCTACAATATTCGACTATGCGATAGACTGGGTAATGGACACCGCTTGACGGCACTCAAGGGTTATCAGAGCGTCGTATCACAGATCTTGAATACGTTGATGATGTAGTCCTTTTTGCTGACAGTTATTACGAAATGTAAGTAATGCTAAATAACGTGTCAGAAACTGCAGCATCGGAATCAGGATCAATGTAAAAGTCTTCATCTTATGTAAAAGAAGCTGATAAAATGCCTCTTTTATAAATTCATTTCCGGTCGAGGAAGCCCGATTTTTGAATACCTTGGGTCCACTCTAATACCAAATGGCTAGGCAAAAGATGATATTAGATCACGGCAGCTAGAAATGCATTCTTCCGGTTGACGAAACTTTATGGAGCCCTTGTCAAATTACCATTAAAACGAAAGTCCGCATCTGTATTACCGTGATTCATTCGATCTTGCTGTATGGCTCTGAGACATGGCCAATGATAGTGAAGGATATTAAGAAGATATCTGCCTTTAATCATTCATGTCGGAGGCAAATTTTACGGATTCGCCGAGTAAATAATCTTTCATGATGGCATCCACCTTCGTTCAAATACCGCATAATAATTTTATCCCAGAGCATCGCCTTCGCTGGTTAGAACACGTCCTTCGTTGTCCATCACAGGAGTTGACGCATATTTCGTTACTTGCTAATCAAGGTCTGAACTGATATGGTCAGAAAAGATTTTAATATAGGTGGACCAGCAACATGTGGACTTAGATAATGGAAAAAAGAATGGCTTCTATTACTGTCGACGATGGCATCAGACCACGTCACTTGGAAGCGTCTTACTCTTGTAGCCATTGGAGCCAGCTTAACCAGTAATGGTGAGAGCTGTTAGAAGAAGAAGAAGATCTTAATTGGCCCATCTCGCTTTTGACGCCACCCATCACACGGTTTAGCAAGTAACGAAATATGCGTCAACTCCTGTGGTGGATGACGAAGAATGTCCCCTAACCTGCGAACGCGACGTTCTATGATAACTTTATTAATGCAAGTGGTATTTGAATGAAGTTAGATTGGATCATGTGATATTTTTTATCCGTGGACATGAATGTGGTTTAGGAGGGAGTTTATTTAATAAATTTAAAAAAAAAGTGAAGATTGGCGATAGAGAGTGGTTATTAAAAACAATGAATGTAGGCGAAGGCGTTAGGAGTGGTTAGTTAATACCAAAAAACATGAAAAATGATTTTACAAATTAGCTGACAAATGTGGGAACAAAGAAAAGTGAAACTGTGAAATTGTTCGAGAATTTTATTGGATAATAAATAAGCTATAGACTTGAATTATAAATCACTAAGTGATGTGAAAGAATTTACTGCAAATAATAAAGTTTGTTTAATTTGGCTATTCGTTGACGCCGAAAGATTATTTTATGTGATTTGCATATTGAATAGTTGACTGCTTATAATGTGAACGAGCTTTTTTATTGATATAGCAATACTAAGCGACAGGAACATCAGGAAGAAGGAATATGAGAAGTTAGAATACTAAGCTGAAAGAGGAAATAGAGATGTGGAACGTAAAGACTAAAATAATTCCAGTAATAATTGCAGCATTTTGAATTGTGAATCCCTAAACTATAAAAGTGGCTTCTAAGAATAACATTAGGAATTTCTATCCAGAAGAGCGTACTATTACGAATAGGTTACTATTACTAAGATTATTATTAATTACTAAGATGATGCGCAGAACCCTTCTGGTAAAAATCCTAAAGTTGAGGATAATTATGGCCACAGACAGGCGAATGGGAAAATTTTTTTTTATTAAGATTACATTATTGTTAAGATTTAGAAATTAAAATATTTAAAATATTAAATACTGCTGTCGAATTTATATTTCTGCTTTTATTCTTATTTTATTTTTACATTTTTTGGTTTCATTTTATTTTAAATTTTAATTGATTCGTAAAATTATTCTTCTTTTTTCTTTGAAAATTTGGGTTTTTTGTGTTAAATATTTAAATATTTGAATATTTTAAATATTTCTTTTTATTATTTTCATATTTTAATATATTTTATTTAAATGTTATTTTCATCTTTCATACCAAATAAAATTCTTATTTCCAAAGATATTTACAAAAATTAAAAAAAAATATTTTCATTTTTCCATTTTTAATTTTTAATATTATTTTTCATATTTCTATTTTAATATTTTATTTTATAGTTAATTTTATATTTATATTATATTTTATTTTTATATTATAATGTCGATAATATTTCTATATTTTTTCAAAATTTATTTATCTTATTCATATTATTTTTGCTGTTTATATCGCCATTAGAAAGAAAATTAGATTAATTTCATTGACGAAATAATTTTTCTTAATTTTGATGGATTTTTTAAATCTTCAAGAAAAATCTGGGTTTTCAAGAAAAATATGCAAGAGAATTTATGAACTTCTCATTTGGTTTTTTGTTAAGGTTTTGCTTTTAATTTATAGTTTTATTAATGTTTTTTATCGTTTCTTTAGCATTTAACATCTATCGTTTTTCATCTTTTTTTTCGTCAAGTACCATTTTTTTCTTTCAAGGTCATTGTGAGACCTATTGGTGATTAAAAAATTAATGATTCATGATTAAATTACTAATGACTAATATTCTAACATTTTTTCTTGATAAGAAAGTCAAAATTTTCCTTACCAAATGTTAGCAGTTTCCTTTATTTATATTAAAGGAATATAAGAAATTTTTTTGGGGTTTTTTCAACTTTACATTTATTTTAAATTTTTTTGAAAATTTTATTCTTGCATTGTTTTTAGGATAGGATACTCATTCTTCTAACATTTGGTTAGGCTGGCTCCGCTGGCTTCCAAGCTGCTCGATCCATCGCTGATAGTAATAGAAGCCATTCCTTTTTTCCTTTGTCTAAGTCCATATCTCCCTATACGTTCAAAATCTTTCTTGGCTATATCATTCCACATCTTGACTCGCCCTTCTCGCTTTTGGCGCCAACCATCATAGGATGTAGCAAGTAACGTCAAGTAACGTCAATTCCTGTGGTGGACGACGGAGAATATATTCTAACTAGCGAAGACGAGGCTCTGTGATAACATTATTAATGGTGGTATATGAGCAGAGATGGATGCAATCATGTGCGATTCTTATACGTTCTATGGATCCGTAAAATATATCTGCTAATAGATTCTTAATATTTTCCACTTTCGTTGGCAATGTTTCCCAGACATGTAGCAAGGTCAGGTCAAGCGAATCGCAGTTATGTGAACGTCAATTTTCGTCTTCATGGTGATTTCGCGACGGTTTCATAAAGATTCCATCAACCGGAAAAACATTTTTCTAGTTATTATTGTCCGGGTCACAATTCCATCTTTTGCCTTGCCATTTGTGATTAGAGTGGATCCAATATATTTAAAGACAAAATTGTTATTCTTATCAACCCTTCTGTAACATTCCAAGATATGCAGATTTTCTCAACCGGCAATGAATTGATAAAAATAAGTATTTTATCAGCATCTCACATATGAGACGAAAAGACGAAAACACTTTCGTTTTATTTATATTGATTTTTCAATTCTCGCTGTAGTCGTTGACACATTGTTTATCATTATTTGATTTCATTATAACTGCTAGCAAGGACGGCAACATCAGCGTATTCAAGGTCTATGATGCCATGCTTTGGACTGATTTGCACACCTCTTGAGTGCCGACAAGCGCATTGCCCATTATCTAATCTATCGCACAGTTGAATATTATAGGGGAAAGAACGCAGCTCTGACGGACACCAATTATTATTTCGAAGGAGTTTGTCAGTTCCTCATATACGGATCTGCGCCAGGGTATGCTGATAAAATGCCTTTATGAACCGAATAACCTCTGGGACACCGTTATATTCCTTCACTTTCCAGAGCGCTGCTCTATCAAACGAATCGAAGGCAGCTGCAAAATCAATAAAGTAAGTGGCGGTGGGTTGCCGGTATTCGAAAGGATGTTCCAGCATACTTCTTAGCGTAAATAATCTGGTACAGCGTCCCGATCTGAATCCAGTTTGATTAGGGCGCATTTTGTTGTCTCGTACTTCCATAAGTATGTTGAGTAAAAGGGAAGCAAAAATTTTCCCTGAGACGTCTAGTAGGCTGGTTCCTCGATAATTGTCGTATGTCCTATCACCTTTTTTGAGAATTGGAAGCAGAATTGCTTTGCTCCAATCATATAGTAACATTTCTTTTTCCCATACCAGGAAGTATATTGAAGGTGTGTTATGAAGGACGATGGACAACACTTAAAGAGTTCAACCCGAAGATCATTTTCTCCGTGTGTTTTATAGGCCTTAAGCTTATGGATTACCTTATGGAGCTTATGGATTATGAGAGATTATTTTCTCTTTTGGTTCGCAGTTGCAACCGTATGGTTCAACGGGCGAATCAGTTATATCCAGAGCAACAGATGGCACATCGTGTCTAAGTTGACCTCAAGAAATTCTTTACATCTTCTGAGGTGATCCTTAGCTTTAATAAACACTCCATTGATATCCTCTATCGTTTTACTGACCCTTTTTCGAGTTATAGTTGATTTGCGAAGGCGAAACAGTTTCCTATCCGAGCCGCTGTCTCCATTCTCAACGCCATATCACTTCAATTACGATTTCTGCCCAGCCATGCTATTGTCATTGTAACTCTTCGAAGAACCCGATAGTCAGGATATTCAAGCTTTGGCAGCTTTTCAGATAGTTAGACAGTTGCTTCCGGCACCCAACTAGCGCACTTCCTACTAGTATAGTGTGGAAGTGGCTTTTCTAGTCATGTCTTTAGTTAGGACCAGTATTCATTAGCCTTTTCAGGGATATCATTGATGTTCATTTCACTGAGGTGTTTCAATAATACGGTTTGAAATGCGCTTATTGTTCCCTGATCTTTTAATTTGAGATAATTGAAGGATCTTGAGGTACGTCGTTTCTTACGACTTGTTGGTTTTATACGAATTGGCTTGAAGCATAACCATATGAAGCAAAAATTTATGAATAAACTGCCTTTAAGACCGATTACTGAAGTTCAGTGGAGAATTATTACGAGATTAAATGCGAACTGAAACCAATGAATTTTTTTTAGCTGCTGTAATCCATGGCGTTTACAAGTTTCAAAGATAAGGACTTTCAAGTTCAGAAATTCTTCCAGCAATGACTAATAAACAATCTGATTGGAATATTGGTTGTCCAGAGAGTTCCACGTAGATATTTTCTCCGATGCTGAAAGCATGTATTAGTAACGAAGAGTTCATGCTCTTCTGAAAGACGAAGAAAGTGTTCTCCGTTGGCGCATTGGACTCCGATACCATATTTGCCAATTACTGAATTCATCGTAATAACATCATGATCTTTGCGCGCATTCCAGTCTCCCTCGTTTATGATTATGTCATCTCTCCTCAGAAATATTAAAAGTTGCTCCGCATAGAACTTATCCTTATCGTCTGCGCATAAAATTAGAGCATATAATATGATATTGCAGAATTTTCCTTTTCCAGAAGCGAGCATGGGCCATACGGTCGCTTTCCACTCAATCAGATCAGATTGAACTTTTTCAGATATGATAATCGCTACGCCATTTCGCCCCGAATTATCTGGGATACCACAGTGACATGGCCAATATCTTTGCTCGGAATTTTCGGAATTAATAATTACTTGAGAGCCGACATGAAGAAGATGCACCTCCGACAAACAAGCCACAACCACGCGATATTTAGGGAGGGTGTGGACAGTAATCGCTTGGCTTGCAATATCCATAAGTATTCTGATGTTACAAGTAACTATAGCCAGCATCGCGCTTATAAAGTGTTAGCAGATAGGATCTCACCTCCCTTGATGGATTTCGAGTACATATCTCGGTTCGCGAGCAAATTGTATGTTTGTGCCTTGAAATTTTATTATTATTACGCTCGGATTGTATATTTATCGCATGTATCACCGTGTCAGAAGTAGCCTCAAGAGCCTCAAGAGACACGGACGTCGCGTCAAAGAGATCTGACCCTTTCACTATACAGTCACTTGGAAATAGAGACATAGGTGGGTATTTCCAGCAGCCATCATGAAAGGTTTACTTCTCTTAAAGACAGAGAATAGAGATAATTAAACTAAAATTTAAAAGGAGAAATTTAAAGATTAAAAAAAAACTTTTTAAGAATGAACAAAAGGAAAAATAAAACCTGTTCGATTCGTTGATAACAAATAATAGGTAATAAATTATATGATATAATACAATATAATATAATAATTTGGTGATAAAGATAACTTTGTTAATCTATTGATTTTTCTATTGATAAATGAGGAAAGCACTTTTGGAGCACAACGGCTTATATAGCACACAGGTCCTCTTGCTCAGGATATTCATTATTTAAAAACTTTTATATGTAAAAATGCTAGATTGATTTAAATTATTGGGCCATTGACATTCAATGATATTATGACTAGCTATTTTCCCTAATTTAGACATTTTTGATTTATTTTTCGTTGAAAAAGCTTGTTGACAAAATTTTTGAAGTATTTTTTAAATTAATGTATTATAAAATAAAAAAATTGGATGGTATATCTATATTTCTATACTTCTGTTCCATTGGCTGTTATGCGAAGGTCTCATCCTATTAGCCAGTGGAGCGAAGCTTACAACTAGAATTAATGAATGCTAGTGGTCAGACCACTAACAAAAATAAAAGGATGCTTCTTGAAAAATAAAAAAATACAAAATCTCAGATGTCACAAATGAGTATATTTCCAGATTTCTACATTTATCCATTTCGGTAGAATTGTATATGCTGGGAGATAAGTGGAAATATTGTAAAAATTATTGTAAAAATTATTTAGACCAGCCAGCAACTACTGAGAATATTGTGAATAGAATGATAGCTAAGGGCCAAATGAGTTTAAAGATAATTAATGTTGCATATTCTTAGTTCCCAATTTTTTCATTTTATTATTACTATTTTGAGAACTTTTTTATCATAAAACTATTTTTGTATAACTATTTTTGTATTTTTTCTTATAAGTGCTAATGTTTTTTTCTGTAGATTTTGCTTGATTTTATGTTTTATTGTCTTGATTTTATTATTTTAGCACCAGTTCATGACGTTGTACCTTGTTTAAATGATAATTGATAAGGTAATTAACCTCTTTTTAATATGAAATTCCAATGAATGAAACTGTGTAGAGTTTTTGAAAAATTGTAAGTTAAGTTTTAATTAAATTAAGTTTTAATTAAGTTTTAATTAAGTTTTAATTTTAAATTTTAAACTTAGTGATTCCTCTTCAATTGGTTGTATCGACAAGGAAATTTTCGTTTTCTTTTTGCCAAATATGATTTAGAATTTTTTTTAAATGCGCAATAGTCATAAATTATTGAGAAATAAATTCATTGAACATGCGAGGCTAAATTGATGCATAAATAAATAACAGTTTTAAAGTAATTGAAAAAAATTTTCAAAAAAAATATTTGCCCACTTTCTTCTCGCCTGCTTATGCATATTAAGAATGCGAATGGTTAAAGGCCCACCGAAGACTTTCCTCTTCAAATGAAGGGTGTCCAACAACACGTGAAAATAGGTTTTATTTGGATGAAAAAAAGAAACAGGAAAAGAGTAACTAGCAGAAGTTAAAATTTAGAACGTAATGCAGTAATGCACTGTAATGAGGGTTATCATTCATTTCTTTTCAAATTTTTCGCGCATTGCTGCTTATTATGAAAAAAGTCATAGAAGTGAATCGCCTTCCATGAACTGTACATTACCAATCGTTAGCGAGTCATATTGTTGTTTAGCATTTTTCCGGCTTCGTAAAAAAAGTTTTTTAAACGCCCTCCGATATGGTCGTAAAAGCGTTAATGTGATAAGTCCATTTGATAACGGATGGACACCAATTATTGCTTCACCGACAATAAACCAAATCATATTTAAGTCGATTGAAAATATGAAGAAAACATCTGAAAATATTTTTTCACAACTCATTTTTAATTTATTATGGAGAAACCTATTGCTTAGGCAAGTGGTCGTCAAATTTTCGTTTTTTTCCACAGGTTCCTATAGATGTGCCATAAAAATCCATGAACTCTTTCGACCCTTGAGCTGATTAATAAAAGTGGATTGTCTGCACTTCCATTGAAAAGTAAATTTACTTATCTTGCATGTTAAAAAGCAAACAATTTACGGCCTATTTTTCTCCTTAACTACAATTTACAATCAAGTCATAGATTATAATAAATTGATTATTTATTTACTTGCGTGGTTTTTAACTTTACACTCTAAAGTTCCAAGAAAAATTGAAACAATTTTAGTAACGATAACCCTCTTTGTAATACTCGCACTTTTCGCACTTTTTATTCATTTCTTAGTAAAGATTTTTTAGTTTTAGTTTTATTTCTTTACCATAAAAAAAGACTATGCAATAAATGAAATTTAAAAAATAAATAAATATTTAGGTTAACATACTAGCTATATAGTAAGGCGTCGCCAATACAAGTGGCATAAATGCTTGTAATATGTAAGTATATACGATGCTTTTTTGTTGTTGAAGCTGTCGAGGATTCAAACTTCGACCTTGACTCTTTCTTGTTGTTTTCGATTGTCTTCGTAGAATTGAGGAAAGAACAAGAAGATTGCAAATAAATGAAAATATGAAGAATGAAGGAGCAAGTACGAAGAAGAAAAACTGAAAATTTTACGAAATAAATAAAATTTTTCCAAATTTTAAAAAAGAGTCTGATTAAAAAAATTTTAATAAATCTTTTAAATCAAATTTACTTCAAATGCTTTTTAAAACTTTTTTCAATTTTTTTCGATAAAACTTTAAAATTATTTACATCTAAATTACATCTAAAATTATTTTAGAAAATGGACTATTCCAGATAAAAATAATTTAAAATATTTTTAAATAACAAATTTTTTAAAATAGATAAATATACTTCAAATTGTTAATTTAGTTAGTTAATTAATTGTTAATTGTTAATAAAAAAAATTTTTGAAAAATTTCGAAATTTACCACTGTTGTATAAGGTGACATTCGTATATATTCAAACATGAAATCATATAGGACAACATCTTGTAACCATAAATCATATAAAGCAACAGCCAGAGGTATAGCAAAACAAGTGGAAATAATCATAATTAGAGATTTTATGCTCATATCGCAGTTATGGCAAATAAGTAACCACTGATCAATTGCCAGTACAGGAAATAAAAAATAAGACACATAAGTAGTATTATAAAGTACAGTTCGTAAAAAGCTACATGTGAATAGACTGAGTTTTATATTATTGAGCAACACAATTATATATATTGAATTTTGAATAAGGTAGCCGAAAAGACCAAATAAATTTGCCAGTGTCATACCTAATGTTGGATATTTAACTCGAGCAGAAACAAGGCCTTTTTTAAGACCCATATAAGCCAATAGAATATTCGGTGGTAAAGCTAATAAATAAAGAAAAATATAAATTATCGAATTTGGTAAATATGATTCTAAAGCAGGTACGAGATCATCAATTGCTGTCACGTTTTCTACGACTTTGTAAAATGTCATCCTGAAAATTTATGGCTGAATGGACTTTAGAAAGAATAAACATCTTCGAAAAGATTAATACAACCAATTCAGGCTTCCCACAGCATTAAATCGAAAAGATATGAATCAGAATCGGCAAAATTTATATTAACTGATATCCAAGAAATAAAATATCAGAATATATCAATTTTTATACTAAAAATAAGAATTTTTTTCAAATTCTTTCTCTAGAAATCTTAAATAACGAAGCAAAACAAGAAGTGAGAAAAAACATTTTCAATAAAAATTCTTGAAAAATTCTTCGATTACTTTTTGGGATAATTCCAACAATAATGAATTATTTGTGGAATGTAAGCAGATTAAAAGTTTTAACTTTTAACTGGAATTTTAGAGGATATAAATAAATAAATTCCCTAAAAAGATGAAAAGTTGCCCACATAAAGAGATTTTTAAATTAATTTGTGAGTAACCGTAAATTTGTCACCATAAATAAATAAAATAAATTAAATAATTATCTTAGATTATTATGATGAGGTGGTTCAGTTCTTACTCTCGATAGGGATAAGCCTGTCATTACAAAATTATAGCGATAACAAGCCACAACTTCTATCGTCAAGTGACTTTAGTAGAAATTTCTAACCACACTATCAGTCTAAATGCCAATAGTACGAACGGAAATAGTGAGCAATAATCACTTACCTTATTCTTTGTATAATTAATTTGTATATATTTGATTATATTTTGGTTATATTTGATTTGATACGTTCTTCAAAGACTTACTTGAGGAAACAGGATTGTAGCTGAGCTGATTCTTTAACTGCCCTCAAATTTTTATCCAAATGGCAACTATTTATTGATTTATCAAGGAACAGGTATTCAATCTGTGGTGGTTTAATTTTAGTGAAAGTTACATATATACCACTCGACCATTCTTTAGTATCACATTTCATGCATACATTATGAGACACCACCACCTTTTTTTGCGAGTCGTTTTAATTCATAGAAGAAAAGCAATGAATTAGAAGTTTTTAAAGAAAATTCAAATGAATTCTAAATGTTCCTCAAGTACCTTTTGTTGTTTTCTTATTAACTAAAGCACGAAAAATAGCATCTAAGATATGTATCGTAATTTATCTATTAATATATTTGATAAAAAAACTTTTGTGTACTTTTGTAACATAATTTGGGATACTAAGAAAAAGAATAAAATCGAAGTATAATTGATAAATTTATTTAGAAGCAATCGAGAAAACGAGGAAGGAGAGAAGATGATGACAGCAATTTATGTATAAAAATTGTTCGAACTTACTTAGCAATTGGATTAGATTATAAAGACTCAATTAAGATCAAGACAGGGAAAATGTTTTGCAGCCAGATTTGATGAATTTCTTTCAAGATTTCTCTCAAGATCACTAAAATATTTGAAAATTTTCCACTTAACCGATTTTTTCAATCGCTAATGGTCTATGATCATTTTCCTGAAGATAATTTATCATTTTTAACATTATTTCTCATTTTCGCTAAAATATTCAATATTGATAACTTTAAAAAAATTTAATTTAAAAAATTTAAAATGGAAAAAATGATAAATATATGATAATTGAAAAATGATAATTTCTCGCCAAGTATTCCAAAAAATTACTTAATTTTTACTTAAATTAAATTAGCAATTTAATTAGCTCATTATGTAAGATTTTGCCATTTTGAACGAAAATTCTGGCAAAATGGAAATATATAAAAAAGGATAGTGGCGATTTTTTATTATCAATTTTTTACTCGTTGTTAGTGAAAGTGATAATAGCCGTAACTCCACGAAGAATTTACTGAAGTGCCATGAATAATGTGACGGACATTCACACTGTATAATCATTGCGAATGAAAGAGAAATAGCGATATTTTATAAAAAACCGGTCAATCATTATTTTCGTCAAGCATAATAAGCTAAATAAATCATTATGATGGATGAAAACCACAAGATATTTCAGTTGCTTTGCCATATTTTGCTTTCATACTACTCTTATTCAATGATTTACTGCTCATTCCTTTCAATATTAGATAAAATTTTAATATTTTTACGAAATTATTTAATATTTAATATATTTACGATTTAAAAGCTTAACATATCATTTTTATACGCTGGCATTTTGATATCAACAGGCGAGCATTTATACTTTTACCTTTAAATGCTTCTCTGGTGAATGAATCATATTTTAATAATAAGTAAAACTAGTCAAATCAGTATTTAGAGGAAGAGGGATTAATAAAAACAAAAAGAATAATCTAAATGAGCTTCTATAATATTGGTTATCAAATAATCACTAATCGAAAATAATCAAAAATTTTTTTGATCTGTAGATATTTAGAAATTTTATAGGAATGAAATGGATAAAAAAGAAGGTTGAGGTTCAAATAATAGTATTAATTTTGCTAAGATATTTATGAGAAACGCTTGTATAGCAAATGTATATAAATAATATATATAAATATAATTAACTATAATCGAAGAAAATAGAAGCACAACATTTGGAAAAATTATAATGCGAAAATATTTATGGTCTCGATGACAATAATGACTCGTCATGGCACATTCGACTCGAATACTATATATTCTACACTATAAATTTTGGAAAAATAAATCAATTCAATAATTTAAAAGGCCATTAGTGCAAATCGAGGCTTAGTTTACTAATTATTAATAAAACCGATAATCGCCATGAATTCTAAGTAGCTGGAAAAAATTCCAAATTTCTGGTTATCTATCATTTATTTACTTCAATCTCGGCCGCCATTTTCAGTGCGAACTTTGAAGAACCAAGAGATTATGGTGAGGCACTGGATTCTATAATGGTAGATTTATGCACAACGAATGTTTTCGAAACTACAAAAATGTTTAATCCTTAATTTTGCAAAAATGTTCCATTAGTCTTGCAAAAATGTTCCATTTTTCAAAAAATCTTGATTTACCATAAGTTTTATTTATCATTTAATTCTTTTCCCGGCGTTTTTGTTCTTTTATGGCAAATTCATATAGAAACTATTGAAATAAGTTCGTTTGAGTCATTATTTCAATATTTCTTACCTTTTTTAAATGAACTTATCGTTGATTTTTATCATTTTTTTTACAGTGATTCTCTATTCAGTAACCAAATGCTATTTCTATTTCTAATTTCCATTTTCTATTAATAGCCTCAAATTCCGATAGTTCGCAATCGTTATACCATATTTCTTCACAGTTTATGCTTCGCTGTCACAATTAGACGAGCGAAAATATTCTCTTAAATATTCTTGAACTTGGGAGAACTACTGAAATTGAAAAAAATTCATTTGTTGCAAAGGTATTCCAAAATAAAAATATGAAAAAATGATATTATTACTCGATTAAATTGTTTATTTGTTTATCTCATCGTAATATTCTTCTAATCGAATTTCATAATTTATTCTCCATTTCATTTATATAAAAATAAATAAATATATACTAACTGAAAAAATAGGTGAATAGAAATGATACAGTTTGCGAATAAATAAAATAATTAAATGGATAAAATGTTAGCACCAAATGGAATAACCTTGAAATAAGTTTTTAAGTTTTTTTATAAGTAAATAAGTTTTTATATATAAATAAGTTTTTTTCAAGTTTTTAAATAATTAAGAAGTCAAGAAAATTAACAGTTCTCGTCTAATTGTGAATATATTTTTCATTTTTTTATTTTGATCCAGTTTCATTAAAGTGGAACTAATTGAGGGAAAAACATTTGTCCACGAAAAATATAATTAGCGCCAGATTGATGAAAATTCGCTAAAAGAAATGATATGTTTGTGTAATGACTTTATATCACATATAAATAACTTGAATAACTTGTGGTAAATTATTGATAATGCAATAAATAAGCCCAGAAACAATTGGATGGTATGTTGATTTGTTTGACGAAGAGCATAATGAGCTTGATTCCTATCCTTTGATTGAAGGAATGCCATCTTCACATCTAGTTCTAGAATGTAAGTGCCGCATCTTGATAGCTCCGAAGTGGCAAGAAATATTGTTGATCATAATTCTTTCGCATAGATATATCGTTTTTTCATCTATCTATGGCTAGAACCAATTTAATTTACATCGAATGATAAAATAACAAATTAAATTTCCCAACTTATTTCAATTTCAACTTATTTCAAAAGCCAAAGCATCGTTGCCTTGCTATCCAAATAAAAATGATGAAATTAACCTTTTTTTTCTTTAAACGCGATACGAGCAAGCTTTTAAAAAATTCTCTTAATTGTTAAGAATCAATGGGTTAATTTACTAAGTTCTAAGAATAAGTTAATAAAAATAGCAAACTTAAAAAGATGACAAAATGCAAAAATCATGGCCAACAGCAGATTTTCAAAATTATTGGCATCTCATTTATAAATAAAAGGAAATAAACTAAGTATAAATAGCCAAAAAGAAATTTTTTTCTAGTCGATTTTTTATTTGCCAAATTTACTACGATTTAAATTCTCGGGCTTTAAACAGTTGAATTTCTGTGCATTTAATATATCACAGACGCATTGTAAAATAATCGAATCAGGCACGAAATGGAATAAATTTGCCGCAAATAAGTAAGTTTTTGCCAATTTCATAGCTAGTCGAACGTCAAGAAAATCAACAGCATTCTAAATATGAGCGACATTCAATTGATTTTATTGCCATTATCGTTTAATTTTATAACAAAAAATCAAACTTAAGAAGGGGGAAGCCCTAATTTTATTAAGGAATTTGCAACTTTTCGCGAATCTGCAAAATTTTGGCAAGCACAGTCTGACAAATATAATAGTTTTTAATTTTTATCTACGAATAAACAATTAAGTAAGTAAGCAAGTAATAATGTATGTGTAAATGTGTATTTAAGATTTAATCCAAATTAAAATGGAAAAAATAGGATTTAATGGCATTCAAGGATAAAAGGACGCATAAAAACAAAGGGATGCAAGTTTGTGAAATATTATACAATTATTATCGGCGTTTTTGGTTGGCCCAATAAACTAATGGATAACTTACATAAATTTTAAATGATTTAATATAGTGCACTGGTCTCTTTGACTTAAGGCACGGAGATCGAGGGGTACATCGTGCTTATAAGCCGATCAATTTGTGGAAATTCGCTAATTATGATTGAAATGATTGAGATTAAATGAACGATCTTTCATAATGAATGAATATCAACGAATTTGATGAGGCATGAAGCAGCGATTTTAATTGAGCTAAAATTGTCTCTTAGAGAGCAGCAGAATAATTTAATGGTGAAATGGTGTTATATTAAATAGCGACATCCCATAACAAATTATCCAATCCAGTATTCTAACATTTTTTTTAAATCTTAGCATTAAAACGCCCGCATTGCTTGAATTACTTTTTATCAATTTTTTTTCTCTTCACTGAATGAAACTTCAATGAATTTAGTGGATTTTTGCGAATTCACGCAAACTTTAGGATGAATTGAAAAGTTATTAATACGAATAAGGCAGTACAAATATATCACTTAAGATGAAGAATAAAAATGATTGATGTTCAATAATACTAAATATATTATTTAAATAAAATCGTTGCGTTCATCTTTATTGCTTTGTTTACAATATTAATTTCCCAATTTTGCATCTTATTTCAATACAAATAAGGCTTTCGATTACCAAATTCTTCGCTTGAATTGATCGCACAAAATTTGAATTAACTTTAGCATAATTTTATGGCTTTTTTCTTATTATTAATTTTTTTTGCATTTCGACAATTTGTTGCTTTGTACATTGTTTTTTCCACAATAAGTTAAATGAAACCTCCCTTCCTTAAAGCTTTGTAAGGATTTTGTAATCAATATTTTTACCATATCCATGAGTCCACGATTTTGCCATATTCATTTGAGCGATCAGTTAGTTAGAGAGCAAATGCACTTCATTTCCAAAAAATTAAAATTCTTATGCGACTTCCATAATGAAATTGCCTAAATCCGGAGTTCCTCTTTCGTGCAAAATTCTTGAATATGAAGTTTAAAAAAATTCAGCACAGATTTTTTCATAATAAGTTAAATGAAATATTCTTTCTTTTTGCTGGAAAAAAAATAATTTTTATTTCAGAATATTAAGAATTAAGACAGAAAATTTAAAAAAAACGATTATGCATTGAGTTCGTGGTATTTAACTGAAAGAAACAAAAGCGATAAGAAAAGATTGCCAGAAATTTCGCAATCCTTTTTTATATCCTCTTTCTTTTTTCGCAATCCTAAATGATTTTGAATGGTGGATTTTCAGTCAAAACTTAAATCTAATTGAAATGGACAACTAGAAATTTAATGTTATTCTAAGAAGATTTATAAAATTTTTCTAAGAATCGATTAAAAATAAGAAAATATTGGAGTATTTTATAAATTATTTGGAAATAAAGCAAAATTTGCGCGAATTTAATGCTTAAAAATCTTTAAACAAACAAGTTTTTATGATCGTCCAGAAGTTAAATCAAATCGAATTGATCGAATAAAAACTTTTAGATTTGAATTTTCAAGTTATTGCAAATGAAAATGTAAAGTTAAAGTCAGAAAAAAATGAAAAATTGAGTAAAAATTAGAAAACAAAAGATCAAACTTATGGATATAATAATGCTATCACAGAGCAACGCCTTCGCTGGTTAGGGCACTGTCTGTCCTCTATCCTCCACCACTAGATTTGTCGCATATTTCGTTAAACCTTGTGATGGATGACGAGGTAGGTCAATTAAGACCTGGAGTGGTATGATCAGGAAAGATTTTGAACATATAAGTGGACCACCAATATATGGACTTAGACGATGGAAAAAGGAATGGTTTCTATTACTATCGACGATGGCACCAGACCGCGCTGCTTGAAAGCGTTTTGCCCTTGTAGCCGTTGGAGCAAGCCTAGCCAGTAATGGTGAGAGGTGTTAGAAGAAGATGAAGAAATCTATAGATATCCAATAGATAAAGAAAGCAAAATTAAAGCAATTAGGGCAAATTTTTATTTCCGACAGAAGCAAATTTAACTTCAAAAAATCAGAATTGTCCGTGTGGTGAATCTCCAAGCGACTCTTTTGATGCTGGAAAAGGCCCAAAGATTATTTTTTACTTGTTTGCTTATTTTCATTTACCTTTATCTATGCGATGTTTAAAACTGATTGGCTCTGTGGATATTAATTATTATTAATTATATGCATATTAATTATTATTTGTATGATTCAATGACACAGTTGTGAATTCAATCTCAACAATGCAATGATTATTAATAATATGATTAGCATAAAATAGCGTTGTTTTCCAATATGGCAGAAAAAAGTCGGATAATTATGGTAAGTGGAGGAGAGATAAAAACAAGGGCACCTCGAATTTATCTGTAAAATAAATCATAAAAACAAATGAAATAAACGAAATCAATTATAATGTAGTGCAAGCAATAATGTCAGTTTAATCAAGTAAAATAAATAATAAATAAAAATAAAAAAATGATAAATTAACGAACTTAATAATTGCTTAGAAACCAGTAGCTTTTAATAAATCTCGGCTAACAAATTTTCAAGTTAAAATATGGATTACCCAAAATAAAAAAAGCGAATTTTTCAGTTAGAGACTCCGAATTCTCTCGATATAAAAACTTTTCATTCTTTCTAGAAAAGAAAAAGATCAAGAGGGCATAAGCCTGTATTGATAATATATTACTAATATAAAAAGTTAGCACAGTAAGAATATTGAAAAAAATGAAATAAGCTGAAAGCTATCCTAAATAGTCAAGATGGGTGTATTAAGAATATAAATATGAAATTTCGTGTCACATATGTTTATTTTTAAATATTTATTTTTCGTGATGACAAACGAAGCGATTAAATTTGTTTTTTCAGTTTTTTGAAAATTATGAAAAGTCCAACTATCATTACGGCAATTTTTGTTCAGCAGGTTATTACCATATCTATAAATCATAGCCTATAAATAATTTTCAACTTTTTCATGTTTAATTTATATTTTTTATATATGATTATACATATACTATAATTATATATACTTATATATATATATATATATATAAACTTATATTTCAATGATATCATCGTTAACATACTAATAGGATTTACTAATAGGACAAGATTCGTGATTGTTGTATTGCATATTGCAGATTTGTACATCTTTTTCACATTCTGAGAATTAAAATGTGGATATGTATTGTCGATAGATTGGCTGGATTATAAAAGTTTTGCATTTTGCATCTTGCAAGTTTTGCATCAGTTTCTGCTTCGGCCAGTTCTTCGCACATTTCTTTGTGCACCTTACTATTTGGTGAAGAGCTTAAATTCTGAATTGTTCAAGAAAAAGACATAAAAAATCTACATATGCATAGAAAATATTGCTACCAAGAAGAAAACTTTAAAACTTAATGAAATTCAAGCATCTTCTTTTAAAAATTCAATATTATTATCCAATATTTTAATTCAGTTTATTTAAGCCTAAAGATTACAAGAGAATATGTTACTCTGCATTTTCATAGTATTTTTATTTGTCTTAACAAAGGAAATATTCATTTTTTGCATTTTAACCTTACTAAACTTGTGGGAGGCTTATTTGAGCCTGGAGACTAAAACTCATGCGATTGTACGAAATTGGCCTTGTCATTTAATCACGATAAGAACAAAATCAAATTATTAAATTAAATTAAATTAAAAATATTAATATCTCATGCAAATTTTGCCTCGATCTGAATTCTTTAAAAGTTCTTTTTTTAAAACTGAGGGAAAGTTATTAAGTAAAAGAAAGCAAAATCAGTAGTTTTGGAAATAAATATTTTAAAAACCTAAAATTAATGACACAGCAATACAATATATTGCGTAAGGGAACGAATATTTTACATTCGAACTAGTCACATTTGTTAATAATTTCATTCTATTTTGATAAGTGACCAATAAATCCAAAACGACTCCATTCGTCCAACCGAAACCATCCTAAAAAAGGAAAATTATTGTTGGCAATTCTTTTTGGATATTTTCTAACTGCCAAAGCAACATTGTAAAAGTTTATATAATCGCATTTTTCTTATTTTGTATCAGAAATAATGAACAAAAAATCAGGAACAAAAATTCTGAAAATTTGGTGAATTTGCAAAAAAATTATTTATAATAAGAAAAATCAACCTTTTTTCATCTTAGATTGTCAAATATTTAAAAACTTATTTCTTTTTCTTTGAAATCCAGTCCTCTTAAATTTGAATAGAAATTCTGCATAATCACATAATTCTTATTTTTATAGTAAACATATTATCTGATTTAACAAACCTGAACAGAATACTCACCACCTGCACCTGGTTTCGGAACACTTCCAATAACATCGTACTGAAGCACATATTATTTTTCTCATTTTTGCAATGAATATAGCAGAAATGAAAAAGAACACGAATGTTTTATTCTTTATATTATAAGATGGAATCTTCACTTTTCAAAAAATAATTTCTTTTCGAAAGATCGTATTTGCCGATTTTAAGGACCGAAATTTTCCGATGCTAACTTTAGAATTTATTGTTGCAATAGTTAAATATGTTGTTTACCGAAATATTGCCTAACAGATCTTTTGTTTGAAAGATGAAATATTAAAAAATCTGCGACAATCCTTAAATCTTAGCCTTTATGATTTTAAACCTTTGGATTTGGATTTGGTTTATTCATTTAATTCAGTTTTGATTTAATTAACTTCGGTTTTTCAGAACAACTGAGCAATTTATTCATACATTGCTCGGATAGCTATGAGTTCGAAATCTGCCTCTGGCACCAATAAACGTGTCGTTAAAGAATATAATTAATACGAACGGTTGGTTCAACTATATTTTTTTCTACTTGACAAAAAATTCTTTGCCCATATTATCATGCTGATCTAATTATGGCAAGCACTAACTATTCATTTAACAACTCAAATTCCAACCTTTTCCCACATATGGCCAGTTTTTTGATAAACCATGTAATTTCCAAGAACCCACTTACTAGCAAGATTAAATGCCTAAAAAATAAAGATTTTATTCTATTTCAATGAAATTGGTGCCATGTATAATTTTTTTTTATAATTTTTTAATGGTTAATTTGATTTAAAGTTAAATTTTTTTCAATCGTTTGCCAGGTGAAAACAAAAATATTAAGGAATAAATTTTAATTTTTGTTATTTCTTAACAAAAAACTATTGTAAATATTAAATTTCATCCAATTTTTAATTTCTTACCCATTCTTGACTTACTGGATCATCAGATTTTCTCAATCCTTCAATTATCATATGATTTATAGGACTCCAGCCGTTAGGGTAATCCCATTGTTCTTTGCTGTTTCTCATTAAACTTGTTGGTACACCATTAGGAAAATCAAATGCGCCAGAAATCTGCGAACGATATTTATTAAGTTTAATAAAACAATTAAAATAATTCGATTAATAATTTGATTTTGGGTAGGTTTATTCCTGTCGGGAGAATTTCAGCATCAGCGCTCGGAATTAAGCAACAACGCACTGAGCCATTATACCCCCATTATCTAACCTTAACATTTATTGACAAGGTTCTTATTGTCAAGAGATAGGTCTCATATTATGATAATATTTGAATCGATAATTAAAATATACCAAACCGTTCGTTCATTTAATTTCAGTAAATATAAAATCTCTCGTTCATTTTGCAAAATTTTTGGTTTAAAATGTTTACATTCATAAATTCGACGATCTGCGAAGATTTCCCAAGGTTTAATGGTTGATAGCACTTGGTAAATAACGGAACGGCTATAGAGCCATAAAACTCTGTATTCAATTGCCCATTTCTTAAATTGTAATCGAACCAAGCACCTTTTTTTGCATCATAAAAAATTGCTTGCATTGACCGCCGAAAATTATTGCCCAGCTTTTCATAATACACCGACTGGTTGTGATTCCCTTAAATTTGTCGTTTATTATGCTTTTTTAAAATTAATTTCATCAAATCCATGAATTAATCAGCAAACACTTTCTAAGATTGATGATCTTCACTGAAAAAAAAGAATGTGAAAAGAACGAGCCAACTAAATTGGATAAATATGATATAATTTTCATATTCCAGCACATAATAGCATTTAAATCGATGGGAACAATATTTGTTGTTTCAATTGTGGCCATCGATACCTTATCTCGAAACCAACGACTAGTGAAATCCCATCCAGATTCAGCGGCTGATGCAATATCCTGAAATATTTGGTTATCTTACAAAGATGGATTGATAATCATTGTTCCATGTTTTCCATTAGATCACTACATCTTCTATTTTTACCACAACACCTTAATTATGATTAGATTATATATCTACCTGAAATAATTTTCGTCGATCGGCAACAGGAACTTGCTTTCCAATCATATGGTCTACAGCGAATGATTCTGGCCTCTCAACATTAGTAGTTGTATTATAATGGAATAAATGATGGGCATATTTTCCTTTCTTTACTATGACGGTCCTGAAATTCCACCACTGGTTTTTGAACTTCACTGGTTTTTGAACTTTTATACCTATTATTTTGCCAAAATCGAAATTCTTCAATCACAGCTGGAAGGATTGTTTTTAAAAATTCGAAATCCTTTGTTGCTTCAATGTATTCGTAAATCATGCCAGCGAAAAGTGGAGGTTGCGATCTTCGCAAGTAGTAAACACGACCACCATTCGGTATAAAACCATACCTAAGCATAAAATTTAGTAAAATTATGAATAAATATATTATCGTAAATTTATGGAAAATACAATGCATTCTTGAATTTTTTCATCTTATTTCGATATCAATTTTTATGGTTTTACAGTAATTTTGAACAATATAGTGCTATAACGAAAACAATTATTCTTACTCACAGGTACCAAACTCACTGGCACTAATGAAACAAAAGAAATTTAATCTCAATAATTTAATTTAGCCTAAAATTACAATATTTTGAACATCTAGTTCAACTTAGCCATATCTTATAAGTATAAATTAAATCTTATTTAATTCGACGAACAATGAGAGAAAATTCTCATAGTCATGAAAAATACACTGGAAATAATATTCTTCAATTCTTCAACCTGTTAACAAGGCTTGCAAAATTCATTAACATAGCTTTTGTTGTTTTATACATTTCACACGCAATAAGGCCTTTGATAATCCAATAAGCGTCCCAGTAGTAATATTCACGAAATCGTCCACCAGGGACAATGAAACGATGTGGAACATAAATTAACGAAGTTCGATCAGGGTTTTTATCTGGCTGCATCTAAACCATATTAAAAAATTAAATCTTAATAGCGCCTTAATTGCTAATCATTTCTATAAATATCTTGGCATAATCGCGATCATCTGTGATTCTATCAGCAACAGTTAATTGATACGATAGATATAAAGTTCTTTGGATCAATTTATTTCAAACCATATAATCCCTGCAAATATGAATCGGTTCTAAATATTAATAAAATTCAGAATATAATAAGAAGATTTTTACCTCTCGGCATAAACGAAGCCATATTCGGTTCAATTCTAAAGCCCATTTTCTTAGGTGATTATCTTGAATTCGCATAAGTTTCTTTGGCATTTCTTTCCAGTCGTCCAAATCACAATCAGTTAATTCTGTTCCTGCTTCAGTGAAATATTTTTTAATGAAATTTTCCAAATCGGATTTTTCGACATGTTCTCTTTTAAAATCATATATTTTTTCGAACTCACTCCATACTTCATCTATAAAAATCACCTTATAAAAAAATTTGTTTACAAATATGGAATATGAATTAATTTGGTTGTTTCCGCTTTTAAATTCACTTTTGGAATATGTTGCTTGGATGGCCTATTCCATCAACTGCTGTTCAACATCATGTCATCTGTGACAGTGAACTGAATCTTTATCAGTGCATTGGAGTCCATCTATATTTTTATCTACAAATGACCTCACCAATAGAGCTAGCCAAACCAGAAATGAATGCTATTGGGATAACGAAAAATTTGCCTTTGGTAAAAATCCAGTAACAATTCTAATATGAAATAAATATGATAGACTACATATTTCAAAGGCTATTTATTTCAATTCTATTGCATTTTACAAGCAGAAAAAGTTCTCAAGTTTGCTAGAAAAATAATATCCATTTTTCTTGATTGATGGAAATTTAATCATATACAAAAAAAAAAGGATAAAAAAAATTCTTACGTGGATCTT